CATTTTGACTGCATTTATAACTCTTTGTTGCTAGTGTGTAGAAATATCAATAAAATGTTTTTTACATCAGCACCACTTTCAGCAGTGTATCTGACCCCCTTATTAATTCCAAAATTTTTTGACTCTGTTCTCTTGGTTTTCTATGTAGGTAAACTTGTCTTGATTAATACTAGTCCTATTTTCTTCCTTTCCAAATCTAGTAACTTGTTTCTTTGTTGTTGTTGTTTTTTTAGTGCTAGGAACTCTAGTGCAGTGTTGAATAGGTAGGATGCCAGTCCATTTCTTAATAGTTAGACGCCTATAGATTCACAAGGAACATAGCCATGTTAAAGGCATGGTGAGGACAGACTTCCTCGTGGTTCAGTGGCTAAGACACTGCAGGGAGCAGGGGTTGGAACCCTGACCAGGGAATTCCTGCATGCGGCGTGGTATGGCAAAAAAAAAGGTATGGTGAAGGCTTGCAGTTAATACATCTGCTACCAATTATATAACATTACTATGTTTAAGTTACTATTCTAAGTGCTTTATATGTGTTAGTTCATTAAATCCACCTAAAATTCTGTGAGGCAGGGACTAGTATTACCTTTATTCTGTTGAGGAATCTAAGGCACAGAGAGAATTTGTGACTTGTTCCATGTCACACGGCCAGTAAGGGATAGGGTCCACATGGTGAGGTTCTAGAGTCCATCCTTTTAACTATTAGGCCAGACTGAATTAAAATTCTATTCTAGTACATTTACTTTAAATAGCAGATGGAACTGTAATGTCACTTGCCTATAATAAAATAACAGCTAGTGTGGGTTACATTTATTTTGAGGTTGTGAGAGAAATGCAAACCATCTTAAATTATACCTATATGGAAATATAAAAAAAGGTCTACACTAACGAGTTAATGTCTCCATCTTCTCTGCCTTTATAATCACATGCAGACAATGTGAGCTGGGTTCTCCAGTAAGATGTGAAATGAAATACCAAATGGTCATCTAAAGTAGAACAATGATCAAGGAATGATGGCTTAGCCATATGTAATAGTAAATAGTGTGTTTTTCCCCAAAGAGCTTATAACCAGGACTTTTACATACAAAGTCTGATTAGTTTAAGAAGATTCACACTGATGTTTCCAAAATTGGTGTGAGATCACTGGCAGGTCTTTTTGTTCATGTATTATTATATTTGGGTAGTATTTCTAAGGTAGAGAGAAACGTTTTCCCAGTCAGAGCCAGTTAGAAGTGAAATGCCAGTGCCCCTGGTATGAAATAAGGCCTCTGTAATGGAATAGTAAGTCAACAACTAACAATGTGAACTGGCCCATAGGAGCTCTGAGCCATACTATCCATTTATTTGTAAAACTGATGAGTGACAGTGAGTGGGCAAAAGTCATGCAAGTTTTGTTTTCATACATTTCCTCTGTAAACACAGTTACAATTTCTAAATATATAGGTGACATTTGCTATCACAGTGAAGTGTAGCACTTCCCAAACTAATCTGATATTAGCGTCATGAGCGACGGCAATGGGTGGTTTTTTTTAAAAAAGGAATTTAATTATCAAATTAATTTAGTCTGTCTAACCTACCCTACAACTTGATCATACTTCTCTTCCATGTGAGATTATTTGGGATGTGGGTACAGTCATCTTGTATCAGCCCAATTTCAGATATCCATGCCCTTTTTCATCAAACCTACTTACAATAAATATACCTTAAGAAAAATAAGTGTGTTGTTTGTATTCATAATTTATAAAGATATTTTTGCCCTAAGAGAAAAGATAAATGTAAACCAGCAGTAATAATACTGTGTGACAAGTGATCGACTAAAGCAAATAACAATATATATAACAGACAATGGAAACTTATGTCTTCTGGGGAATTTGGGCAGGTTTCATAGAGATGGTGGCCCTCAGATTGAGAATAAAAAGATGAATAGGAGTTTTCTGGGCAGTCATGGGTCCTTGCTCATATATGGTATATACTTAAGCAAGCTGGTGAGGGGCAGAATCAGATTTAGGAGGAGGGCAGACAGGCAACTGCACAGGGTGTCAGTCTATTCTAGGTGCTAAAACACTAAAGTATTAAATATTAAATAGCAAATGACACCAGTTCATTCATGCTTCTATCTACAGTTTTTTACATAACAGGCAAAATGGAAATCAGATCCCCTTTGACTGAAATATTCAGTACCTCAAGTAGAAATAAAAATATTCCTGGTGGTGCTGACTTGTCATGGTTGAACAGTTTTTGCAACACACACACGCAAGTTGCAGGTTCCAACTACAGGCAGATGGCACAACCAAACCCACGACCAGTCAGAGGACAGTCACCTAAATTCAGCAGCAAAGAATAGGACTATTTATTTGGAATAAGAAATTTCATCTAGTAGCTACATGTTCAATGGTTCACTATGCCTCCCAAGAGGTTGTCAGAATTTGGAAATTGTATGGAATAAATTAATGTCACAAATCCTTTAGCTTAAATGTAAAGAGGCATAAAAATTTTATTATTAGGAAATTCATATCTTTCCATCCTCACTTTAAAATATGGCCGAGGAAGTATGTATTTAAAGAATATCAACTTGATGGAGTGCCAAATTAGTAGCCATCCAGGGAGTACCACTCGTTATCATTCTGTCTCTGAATATAGGGAAATAATGAGAGATGAGGCTTCAGAGATCAGCAGGGGACAAATAACTAGCAGACCATATAAGCAACGTAAAATATAAAATTTATCTTATGTGTCATTGGGATCCATGGAAAGGATTTAGCTAAGAGATTGGTGTAATCCCATTTATGTTTCAGACAAATCACTCTGCTAGTCATGCAGAAGATAGCCTGAGCAGAGAGAGGAGGGGGCATGATTAAAGGCAAGAAAACTACTTAGGATGCTGCAGACATAGTCTAGGTCTGAAATGATGAAGCACTGAACTAGGCACTACCTGTGGAAATGAAGGGAATATTAGAGATTCAGAAATTTTTTTAAGAGGCAGATGCCACAAGACTTGGTGGCCGATTGGGTGTGGGGGATAAAGTGGAGTTATGAGTCCAGAAAGACTTATTCGTCCATTCATTCCAAAAATATATTAATGTTCTGTGATGTGCTCTGCTAGAGTGCTTCAGTTGTGCCTGACCCTCTCTGACCCCATGGACTGTATCCCACCAGGCTCCCCTGTCCATGGGATTCTCCAGGCAAGAACACTGGAGTGGGTTGCTGTGCCCTTCTCCAGGGGATCTTCCCAACCCAGGGATCGAACCCACATCTTTTCTGTCTCCTGCATTGGTAGGTGGGTTCTTTACTACTAATGCCACCTGGGAAGTGCATTAATGTTACTTTGTTCCAGAAATGGCTTAGAACCTAGAAATCTGAAGATAATTAAAACATAATCCTTGTTTTAAGGTGAAAGAAGTAGAAATGAATATGAATAATTATAAAAGAGCATAATGGGTTATTGTAAAATTATGTACAAGCTACAGTGGGGCAGGAATAGGAGGAAGTGTTTTACTCTACCTGGGAAATTTGAGGAAGGCTTCAGAGAGGCGGTAGCACTTGAACCAAGTCTTCAAGAATATATAGGAGTTGGTTGGATGATCACAGATCATCCTGGTAAAATCATTCCTGGAAGAAGGAGCTGTGTGTGCAAAGGCTCCTAAGTTTAAGAGAGCATGACCGTATTTGGGTACTGAAACTTCAAATTTTTCAACCTGACAGTGTGGGTGAATGAGGGGGCGAGAGATGAGAGAGGCCATAAGCAATGAATAAGAGATAAGGGTGAAGAGCTAGAATGACTAGGTCATAAAGTGCACTGGAAAAGCCCACGCTGAGGAGCATGGCCTTGTCAGATGAAGAACTAACATCGTCTGCATCTCATTCTGTTTTTAAATTTTGAACTGAAGTATAATTAATTTAAAATGTTGTGTTAATTTCAAGTGTACAGCAGAGTGATTCTGTCATATATATATACTGGGTTGACCAACAAGATGTTACAGAAAAATGTGAATGAACTTTTTGGCCAAATCAATATAAATATGTATAAGAAAATGTATATATAAATAATTTATAATATATATAATATATGTACTTTTTCAGATTCTTTTCCTTTAGAGATTATTATAAGATACTGTGTATGGTTCCCTGTGTTACAGTAAGTTCTTGTTGCTTACCTATTTTATATTTAGTAGTGTGTATATTAATCCCAACTCTGTATCACTTTAGAAATGATTCTGCTCTTTTTACATAAATATAAAATTTCATTCATTTATTTATTTTTGCCTGTGCTGGGTCTTGGTTGCTGTGCACGGACTTTCTCTAGTTGTGGCAATTGGGAGCTACTCTGTAGTTGCGGTGTGTGGGCTTCTGATTGTGGGGGCTTTTCTTGTTGCAGAGCATGGGCTCTAGGCTGTGTAGGTTCAGTAGTTGCAGCTTGCAGGCTCTAGAGCTTGGGCTCAGTAGTTATGGCACATGGGCTTAGTTGCTCTGCGGCATGTAGGATCTTCCTGGACCAGGGATCGAACTTGTGTCCCCCTGCATTGGCAGGCAGATTCTTAGTCACTGGACCTCCAAGGAAGCCCTGATTCTACTCTTTGAAACAGAGTTATGCAAACAAATTTGATCCTGTTTTTCTGTGTGTGTTTCTACAGTCCCTACTGTTTTCCCATTTATCAGACTTGAGTCAAACGGAAAAAGTTTGAATCCTAGGTCCATCGCCACTTATTATTAGACCTTGGGCAAGTCATTTTACCACTGATTCTTTTCCCTGTTCTGTTAAATGGGGATATTGATAGTACCACCCACATTGGGTCCTGGTAGGCATTAAAAGAGATAATACATATGAAATGCTTGTAACAATGTCTTAAATACCATAACCACAAAACAAAACATTTTTGTTTGTGTGCTTCCAAGACAATCTATCCTTCAGATTTTGAGTTTTCCAAGGGTAAGAGTTGTGCCTATTTTCATGTTTCCAAGCCCTGGTATAGTGCATAGTTAGGGTGGACAAGATGACATGCCACCCAGACCCCCCTTCAGTGAAGGATTTATTCCCCTTACTATTGGGAGGACTGTTGACAAACAGCCTTCAGTTGTCAGCTCCTTCAGGAATCACCTCAGCTACATAGAACTGCCTTGCTCAAGGTCACATCCCTTCCCAAGGTAGTTGAGACACAATGATTAATTAATTTAGAAGTATACAGGCCTAGTAATGGCATCCTTCAGGATGGCAACTCTGAAGGGGAACTGTATCTTCAGAGATCCCTGTGGGGTTAGACAAGGCTGTCATTGGGCTACATCATAACTTGACCTCTTCCACAGCCCACTCCCACTTCCTTTCTTCTCCCTTCAATAGGTGTTTATCTCAAAGGTACTCCTTAGTAAATAGCCTGCACAATGATGTCTATCTCAGAACTGGCTTCCTAGGGAATCCAACCCACCATTGTGGCATTTGTAGTCAAAAGGTTAGTTGAACGAATGACTGGATGAATGCTCATCTTAAATTTTCTGCAAAATGTGAAAATCATGGGCTTTGTGTGTTATTTAACCTTTCTTCTCTTCATCTTTATGGGGATATAGTAAACAATGTGCTCTGACAGGAGAATATATATATATATATATGTATGTATATATATATATACTCTTAAGTATGTGACACCAGGAATAAATTATACTTTGGCAGAGTGCAAAATTTCTGTGCCAAAAGTATTTCTGTTGGTTTCTCTCCTTGTACTTAAACTATGTTCATCCTTGAGGATGCCTTAAAAAGAAATGCTTGGATTTTAAGAGAGCACTAATACAATATGAGAGAAAGCTATGTTGATAATGTCTTTTTAAAGAGATAGCTAATGCAAAAAACTTTAAAAATGTTACTAAAGTAAATCAACTCAATACAGCATATGAAAATATAATTTCTTGTTTCCTTATGTTTTGTTGGTAGGAAAAGACTTTTAATTCCTGTATTCATCATGTTGCATATAACAAGGCTTATATATATATATATATATATATATATATATATATATATATAAAGCATTTATATATAAAGAACTCAATTCTAGTCTTCTGTGGTGATTATCAATTCACTATAAATGCATGGGTTTGTTTCTGGGTTCTCTGTTCTGCTCCATTGGTCTATATATCTGTTTTTATGCTGGTACCATACTGTTTTGATTATGATCATTTGGTAATAAAATTTTAAGTCACTTTCAACATACTTTTATTGCATATGTGGTTACATGGGAAAATAATACAAAAGTTGGAGACCTGTCTTTTCATTCTTGGAGCTCACAGTCACTGGGACATGGAAAGGTAAAGAGAATACTGCAACCCAGTATAAGAGGGACTATGAAAGACGCTGGAAGTGAGAACAAGAGGCTTTGGTTGCCCACAACATGAACACCTAATTAAGAATGGAGCAGGGAAAATATGCTAGGGTAGCTTCCTGGTGGAGGTGATGATGACCAACCCAAGTTTTGCATGACAATTAAGACTGAATCAGGAAAAGACAGGGAAAATACTTATCAGGCAGAGGGATCAGTACATACAAAACATTGAGCAAGGAATAAGAAGAAGTCATGATGAGAATTCTGGAAGTAACAAAACAAACAAGAACTTCGATGAGATTGCCATATATACAGTACTATATATAAAATAGCTAACTAATGAAAACCTACTGTATAGCACAGGGAACTCTACTTCAGTGCTCTGTGGTGACCTAAATGGGGAGGAAATCCAGAAAAGAGGGGGTATATGTATATGTATAGCTGATTCACTTTGCCGTACAGCAGAAACTAACATAACACTGTAAAGCAACCATACTCCATTAAAAATTATTTTTTAAAAAAATAACTTCAGTGGAATTGTTGTTGTTCAGCTGCAAGTTGTGTCTGACTCTTCATCACCCCATGGACTGCAGCATGCCAGGCCTCTCTATCCCTCACCATCTTCCGGAGTTCGCCCAAGTTCATGTCCATTGAATCAGTGATGCCATCCAACCATCACATCCTCTGATCAGTGGAATATAAAAGCTTATTTTTAGTCCTAATGTGATATCTCATCATCTCATTAAACAATTCATCTTGGAAGTCACTTCTATATAGATGGCATATGTCTTTCACTTTGTAACTCATGTGTATGTGTATGTGTGCTCAGTTGTGTCTGACTCTTTGCGACCCCCATAGACTACAGCCTACCAGGCTCCTGTGTCCATGGAATGTTCCAGGCAAGAGTACTGGAGTGGGTTGCCATTTCCTCCTCCAGGGGATCTTCCTGACCCAGGGATCGAACCTATGTCTCCTAAGTTTCCTGAACTGCAGGCAGATTTTTTACCATTGAGCCACCTGGGAAGGCAAACATCCACTGGATCACAGAAAAAGCAAAAGAATTCCAGAAGGACTTCTACTTCTGCCTCACTGACAATGTTAAAGCCTTTTACCATGTGGATCACAATGAACTGGAAAATTCTTAAAGAGATGGGAATACCCCTCTACCTTACCTGCCTCCTATGAAACCTGTATGCAGGTCAAGAAGCAACAGTTAGAACTAGACATGGAACAACAGACTGGTTCCAAATTGGGAAAGGAGTACATACATCAAGGCTGTATATTGTCACCCTTCTTATTTAACTTATATGCAGAGCACATCATGCAAAATGCCGGGCTGGATGAAGCACAGCTGAAATAAAGATTGCTGGGAGGAATAGTAATAACCTCAGATATGGAAATGACACCACCCTTATGGCAAAAAGCAAAGACGAGCTAAAGAGCCTCTTGAAGAAGGTAAAAGAGGAGAGTGAAAAAACTGGCTTAAAATTCAACAGTCAAAAAACGAAGATCATGGCATCCAGTCCCATCACTTCATGGGAAATAGATGGGGAAACAAAGGAAACAGTGACAGACTTTATTTTCTTGAGCACCAAAATCACTGCTGATGGGACTGCAGCTATGAAATTAAAAGACACCTGCTCCTTGGAAGAAAAGCTATGACAAACCTAGATAGCATATTAAAAAGCAGAGACATTACTTTGCCAATAGAGGTCCCTATAGTCAAAGCTATGGTTTTCCAGTAGTCATGTGTGGATGTGAGTTGCATCATAAAGGCTGAGTTCAGAAGGATTGAGGCTTTTGAATTGTGGGGTTGGAGAAGACTCTTGAGAGACCCTTGGACTGCAAGGAAATCAAACCAGTCCATCCTAAAGGAAATCAATTCTGAATATTCATTGGAAGGACTGATGCTGAAGCTGAAGCTCCAATACTTTGGCCTCCTGATGTGAAGAGCAGACTCATTAGAAAAGACCCTGATGCTGGGCAAGATTGAAGGCAGGAGGAGAAGGGGACAACAGAGGATGAGCTGGTTGGATGGTATCACTGACTCAATGGACATGAGTTTGAGCAAACTCTGGGAATTGGTGAACAGAGAAGCCTGGTGTGCTGCAGTCCATGGGGTCGCCAAAAGTTGGACACAACTGAGCAACTGAGCAACACCTGGGAAGCCTAATTCCCAAAAGTGAATATTTACTATCAATTTTATCCATTTGAGAAACAACTTTCAAATGGCCCAGTTTTTATAAATATCTATATGTGGAGATTAATATAGTACTGATTTGATAGTTTCACTATATATTAATATTTAGTACTGAAATTGGCCCAAGCCTGGGCTTTTCAAGCTGACTCTCTTCCCCATCCACCCTGAGGCCAGCATGCCTTAGTAATGGGAACTTGCAGCTTTCTGAATAATAGAACATGGCAGCACCCCTTAGGTAAGTGCAGAGATCTCATAATTTAAAAGTCATCATCCCCCTTCTACATCACTTTCTATGGCAGCCCATTGGTTTTAAAAACAAAGTCCAATTTCCTATGAAAAGCATTCAAAACCTTGGACGAATTCACCCCAAACTTCTATTCCCAGGCTTCTTTCCATGTATTTTCCCTCCCCTTCACACCCTGAAGGTAGCAGCAATGCCAGAATTCCTTGTATTGTCTGAATAGCTTCTGTAGAGCTTTAGCTTTGCTCATATATCCCTCTGCCTAGAATTCCCTTCCTTACTACACCCCACCCTTTTCTGGCCCCTTTCCTTACTATTTAATGCATCACTTTCCTTTGAGGAACACTTATCACCTATTGGACAATGGTGATTAATACTGAGTCCAAAAGAATTTTGTTCAAATTGAATCTCTGCCTTTTGTCCTAGCTGTGAAACCATGCACCAGTTAATTAACTATTTTAAGCCTCTGTTCTCTCATTTGTAAAATGGGAATAATGATAATACCTTTGTCATAGTAGAGTGGTGAGGATTATATGATATAATTATCATAACACAGTGCCTGGCACAAAGTAAGCATTCAATAAACGTCAGTTCTATCATTAGTATTTTTCTAAATGTCTCTCTCCCTTTTTGGACTTGAGTGTTCCAAAGCCATGTCTGGATGATGAACACAACACTTATCATAGGTGATATACCTAATGAGGACCCAATAACCAGTTGTTAAAATGAATTATTCAAAAGGAGCTATGGCCAGTTCCTTAGTGAATCAACAGATTTGTGAATAGATAAGGATTTGTACTGAAGGATTTAAACTGTTCTTATCCAAACATATATATAAGTAAACTTATGATTCTATTAGGTTTCACAGCATTCTGTAGACATGGTGTTATTTGAGCATCACATGACTTCTTATAGCATTTCAGATTATGAAATACTGCTAGGTTTTTTTAACAGAAGAATATTTGTAAGAAATTTCAAATTAACATAAACTGACTCTTGTTTTTCATTTGTTCTTATATTTAGAGTTCACTGAGTGAAATAATTTCCTAGTCACAGTTGAATAGAAACCCATAGTCAAATGACAAATTAGAGTAAAATACTAGCTTCTTGATATATTTGTTCAAAATGCAATTTCCCTTTGCTCCCAATAAATTTACTAAGTGAGTACAATCTAATTACATGTCAAATATTTTTTTCTCTTTCTGTGCCACACTGAGAAATTTTTCTACCATTTAGTTGATTATTTGAAATCTTGCCAACTAGGAACATCCTACTCAGAGCCTCCTTAACACA